AGCGAGCAAGTGCCGCTTTTGATCCCAGCTGCCGGGCTGGGTAAGTACCTGCGTGCTTTCACGTAGCGAAGCATGCATGGCTAAACCTGGGCCCTATAGACCCTGAGTTCGGATCATATGTTATATCAGTTGACTTGCCTAATACTTACATCGGATCTACCCACGAAGCCGTAAACCCCTCAGCTGAACTTTTTAGGGACAAGCCGCTCGCAACCTAAACTAGAAACCAAAACTCTTACTTTGTTTGATCATTTCCCTAACCTCTGCAGCCCTTCAAACACGAAGCGCGGTCCTGCAAGTGAGAGCAGTTTCGGAGCCCTGAACTTCAGCCCAGAAGCCTCACGCAGAAACCGCAAACCTGCCTTGAAGTTCATGGATAGATATAGCTGGGCTATATGATATGGGCTCCCTAGTGTGGGTTACACCCCTTGATACCCTACTCATGATGCCGTCATGGACTGATGAACCAATTACAATCCGGAATCTGCCAAAGCCATGGACTGCAAAGCATCGAAATCCTAAACGAAACCTCGCGGCCCAAAAAGCTCAAAGGCCCTAATCAACTCCTTCGACCCTCAGCCCGGACCCAAGCACTTCAAACCCAACGGCCTACCTGCAGCAGCCGCAGATTCCCCGCAGGATGGCCTCACGGCACATGCTTCAGGGCCCGGGACCACGAAAACAGCTTAGGCAGCTTTTCCCGGTGAGGTCGATCTAGGGGGCTACTTCGGCCACTCTCATGACCCTATGAATACAGTGAATACAGAGTTTGGGAATCTTCTTCTCTTTTCTGTCTCGATGTGCCACACCAACCATCACTTGTGGAACGCCGCTGACATGGCTTGAAGTCAAACTCTCCAATATGAAAGTATAACTACACATGCAGCACGCAGGCAACTGCAAAAGTGCATCTGCGCATCCACGATCTTCATTCAGTGGACGTAGGGCTCTTGGAAAGCAGGTCGTACTCGGTATCACGTGATATACTTCTAAAAAGCTGCCCAAAACTGCAGTCTGAGGCACTCTCAGGGACTGCCACAGGTCCTGCGAGCGGTGAGCAGACCAAACGGGACTGGTGAATCCAAGTGTGCCCAAAAGCTCTGCACATCCTGCGCCAAAGTGGAAGCTCCGTGGTTTACCATGTCAACACTGGGGTCCCATTCGGGGGTCCGTGCTACAGTAAACTTTCAGCAGCACCCTCGTTGAGAACAACTCCCATGTGGTTCGCGCTTTCGAAGGTTGCAGGTTAAGAGGAGCCAAGAATACTTTCCTCGGAGACCTATACTCGCAGCTTTAAGCCGTAAACCCACAACAGTGCGTCTAGTCGAAGGCCTTCCCTACCCGGCCATACCTGGCCATCTGAAGCCCGACCCTTCCATATAACACCCATGCACTGCGTGTCCTGCTCCTCCTCTGCGGTCCCAGGAACCTGTGCTTCAAGGCTTCAGCGGAGAAGGCTGTAGGTGTAAGGGCTTGTGTACGGCTTAAACTCAAAGTTTGAAACCGGTTCGGCAATGTGAGGCTTACCTCTGTACTCCAACCCTGCAAACAGGGTAGGTAACCGGACCTCTTGAGCACAGGTCAGGCCCTTGAAACAGTAGGCTGTTGGATCCCAGGAAGCCTCGAGCTCTCGTAGATAGAAAGTTTTTTTCGGAGTGTCGGGTTCAGGGTGAAAAAAGTGAACGTAAACTAAACAGTTTTTAGAGGAAGGGGGAGAATTTCTGTCGGAAGCGTCAAAGATTTTTGGAAAGGGAGTACTTGCATGTTTTATTTCATGTTACGATGTAGTAATGTAGTAGGATCGTGTATACACAAATTGCAAAATCGGGTCTCACGGAATGATTTCCTGAATATCATGACTGGCTGCAAGGTTGAAAAAGCTTGAAACTTGTTTTAGATGTTCGGCTCAGTAGGTATTGTCACATTCCAATTTCTGACCGAAATATTTGAATCTAAAGTAGAACCAGATTGGAGCCGCTGCTTCTAGGAAGTAGAAGTGAACGATAAATGCCCGGGGCCAGGGGCACTATTGGAGGCTGTAGGCGATGACCCAAATAATGTAACCGGCATGCTTCTCTTGCTGTGTGCCGTCGCTACAGTACGGGGAGACTGTCAATCGGAGGCACACGCAAGTTGCATGTTGGAAGGCATATCATGCCTTTGCTGTCCTGCTCGCACGCACTCACAACATAATCGACAAACTAGTTAGCCGGGGTCCCCAAAATGTTCATGGAGGGGTTTTTGGGATTCGCGTTAGGTGGCTGAATATCTGATAGCTGATAGAGCTGAATATGAGACACAGACAGACCGAGAGAGAGAGAGAGAGAGACAGAGAGAGACGGAGAGAGAGACCAGCGCCGGAGGGCGAACTTATGAAGGTGAATGAACCCGTTTAGCGAAGATGACCTCAATCGATAGATAAATATCAGATAACTATTATATCGGACTTTCTCAAAACATGCTGCTGCTCATGAGTGCCGTTTTTACTTACCGACAGTCTACTGATTTGCATTATGAGATATCTAGCTGGATATATGAAGAGACTCTAAATGAAATATGGAGAGGATCTAAATTAGTGCAACCGCGCATGAATAGCCCCTGCGCAACTTCAATATCTTGAAATGCAACCGCACTTATATGATACTCCTACAATTCTGTTTGCTTCACTAACAACGATGATTAGTGCTCAGCCAGTGGCGGAGTTGGTGCCAGCGGTTTCCAAGGGCGTTCCATCAACCAAATTGCCTAAGCCACAGCACAAGCTTCGCTTCGCAACGCGGCATTTCATGCCCGACTTGAACAACATGAATTAGGGCCGTCTTGACACCTGCTTGCGCTTGTACCAAGTAGCCCACATCGGCAGCGTACACTGAGGGCGGCAGAGGCGACCCCGGCACATGCAAGTCCGGTCCGATGGTCTCGGGGTGGTTGATGGTGTTGCCAACACGGTTCAGCGGCGTGCCACCTGGGAGGTAGTCGACGGAGCTCACGAAGATGGCACAGGGCAGAGGCGATCCGGGAGCATTGCTGTCTTGTCCGATGTTCTCAGGATGGTTGATGGCGTTCCCAGCTCGATTCTGCCGAGTGCCTTCTGGCAAGTAGCCCACGTCGTTGCAGAACTCCTGGTCGGCATACACGTCCTTCTGGAAGCTGCCCTCGAACTTCCGGCCGTGCATTGCCGTTCCTTGGGCAGCGGGAGGGGTGCCGATGCAGCCATGGGTGTCGCAAGCATACGACGAAGGCGTCAAGGGCGAACCGGGCATGATAGGGTGCGGCTGCATCGTCTCCGGGTGGTTGATAGCATTGCCGGCAGCATTCATCGGAGTGCCATCTGGGAGGTACGCCACCGAGTTCACGAACTTGGCACGGGGCAGCGGCGATGCAGCAACGTGCTTGTCCGTGCCGATCGTCTCGGGGTGGTTTCGGGCATTGCCCGCTTTGCTAAGCGGGGTGCCATCCGGCAGGTAGCCGACGTCGTTGGTGAACTCCAAGTCGGCATATGCGTCCTTCTGGAAGGCATGGGTCGCATCCTTCGTGGCCGTCTTGGACCTCGACTCGGATAACTCATGAAACACTTCTTCCCAAGCCGCCCGCTCCAACCCGAAACGTTGAGCTATCAGAAAGGCTTAGCCATGCTGTACGAAGCCGACCTGCCTTCGGATCCTAAGCCCTGCACCCTGAGCCCTTAGCAAAGCACCGATTACATACATGCTATAGTTCCGAAACCCCAGACACCCTAGACCCTGAACCCCAAATCCTCAACCTTGACGTCCAACATCGCAAGCCTTGGTGCGCAACACCTTCGCCGTGCACAGCGCATGCACTATACAACACTCAGACGGGCCACTGAGTTTGAGCGCCACATGAACTTCAGAAATGCAACGTTCTTTTGTTGCTATCAACAGACGTGCGGCTCTTTGAAATCGATTTGGGGATGACGTCGCGAGAAATGCTACACTACGCGTTTGAGTCGGGCGTGAGTGTGGGATCGAACTTTGGCTTCAATACCGCCGAGTAGCGCTGGGTAGCATCATGCGTGATCGACCGTGCCGGGTGCTGTGCACGGACAGGGAGTTTCTGACTAGTCGGCGGCGGGTTCGCAGAGCAAAAACAAGCTGATGAACCCGACATCCGAGAATCCGAGAGCTACACTATACCAGATTTGACGGTCCTTTCTAAGCGTGTTTGTTGAAGCCAGCATTCAAGGACAAAGCAACGAATGTATCTGGCAGAGGCTTGGTCCCACTCGCCTCCTTGACTTCCAGCTTGGTCTCGGCTACCGTGTGGATATGGTTTTCTCGCTCCTGCCACGACCACAACCTTCTCAACCTGTAACACTTGCTTCCAGCACTTTCTGAACGGCTTCTCCGATTCGTAAAAAGCACATACATAAAACGACACATGGGAATCATACGACATATCCTGTAGGCATCAAATGCCACTTGCTTGCTGCAGGTGACTGCACCAACTCTAAACAAACCGCATCGATTACAGTGGTGTCAAACACCATGTTGCGGCGTAGTAATCCTCTCAACTGGATGCTCGTGCGAGCTGTGTTAGCATCGATCTTCATCGTATTTCACAAGGTCTGCTGCAAGTTCGGGCTTCGGGCAAAGTATTCTATTTACCTTAGATCAGCACCCCAGCCATACGGGGCATTTATAATTGGAATGGGAATTTGGGGCAAGGTATACTATGTAACCATAGAACCTAAGGACTAGTGTTACTCAGTAGTCACGCCTAGACAAGGCTTCAACAAGCTCGTAGTGACTCAACTGCCTGAATGGTCTCAATGCCACGCAAGACCTTCATCGAACACGCAGCTGCCTCAACTTCTTCCTTCACTTCATCCTTCACCTCCAGGCTTTGGACTTGGGACACTTTAGCGTTGAGGGTTAACAGTTAAAGCGGATTACGGAGTCTAGGGTTGAGCAGGGTTAGAGGGTTGAGAGTTGGAGGTTTAGGGTTCAATTGGGGTTCAGGGCGCGGGGTTCAGGATTTTGTGGGGTAAGGTACAGCACTCCTGTGGAGAATGCCTTTCAACTCGGGGTTGTGCATCGCAGGATGCCTCACCATTCCAGCCTCTTGTGAAAATAGGAGCAGCAGGACCCACGTTGCTCTTCTGCGACGGTGATGAACAGAACGGGATGGCAGCTTTAAGGCCCAAAGTCACGACAAAACACAGCAAGGGTGTAAATACTTATCGACGCCCTAGATACAAGCCTAAATAGTACTCCATGAATCCGCTGCTGGAAGCCGCCAACACAAGCAGCAAAACCAAATGAGAAGATACGACGGCCACGTGCCTGGAGCTCCTCTTGGATGTCTTGGCCTTGGCCTTGAAATTCGCCTGCTGGCTTGTCTGCCTCCCGAGACCGAACCCTAAGGCTCCATGTACCCACATAGTATATACTTAGGCCTTAAAGTACCTATATAGGGACCCTTTGAGGGCTTAAGTATCTACTATGTAGGTACATGGAGCCTTTGGGGAAGGGATTCTGAGATTCTGCTGTGAAGGAAGAACGCACGAACGGACATCGGGCTCTCTGCCGGCAGTCGAGTTGCCAAAGCCAAGCTAAACCCTAAACCCTAAACCCCAAACACACTGCCAAGGGTTCTGACTGTCGGGCCAAGTGCCGAAATACGTCGTCCTAGCATACGCTTGCAATACGAAGAGCCCTCAAGGTCGCGATTAACATCTCGATGCCTCGATCTCCTTCTTCACTTCTTGCTTTACTTTCTCAGGTCCGGCTGGCTCCTTCGGCTCATATATTTGTCAAGGCAGCAACGAGACCCACGAGAAGATCTACAGTGTTACAGCCCCTGTTTGAAGCAGTCTTATGCTAGCCAGGTTTCTGAGAAAAGATGCTGGCCAAATCTGGAACTCGCAAAAAACATTAACATCGTGATGGTTCAGGACATAGGGTTTAGAGCTTAGGGTTTTGGGAGCGACAGGCTCAAGAAGAAACGTCCAGCCTCAGGGTTCTTGGGGACTGTTACTGTTACTGTTACCCTAAACCCTAAACCTGCTGAATGCCTAGCCCAGCTTGGACGGTTGTGCTCCAGACTTGAAGTGTTGAGGGTTGAGGGTCGGGTTGAGGGTTTAGCTTCGGGTTTACCCATAGGCCCCAAAGTAGTTCCTTTCTGGGATTACCTTGTAGGATGCTTAATATGAACCCCCAAAATGAACTACTTTGGGGCCTTAGGGTAGGGTGTAGGGTTAATTAAGGGTTTACTTTGAGGTTGAGGGTTCGGCTTTGCATGCGCTGATATCATTGGATGGCGAGCAGTGCAAACCCGAAGGATTTACGGCAACATCAAGCCCTGTTCACCACAATTGTCAGCCTACCACCAGTGCGCCCAACACAGGGGTGCAGAAGGTCCTTGCGTATTGTTCTATGCTTATATGAGTCTATTGGGAGCATAAGGGAATAATAGTGTTGGGAAATATTCAGGCTATGTTGTCTTAATCCTGGATCCGCAACCCGCGCTCCCGGCTGTCAGCACCATTGTCGATTATGCCCTCCTGTCAAGCAAGCTTGATGCGTTTTGGCGAAAGTGTTCCCAGCTTTGCTTGCTGAGGCATAACAGGCACTAAACCCGATAGACCCTAAACTCAAAAACGTAAGCCGCAAACCCTGAGATCCAAACCATGAGCGCGCAACCCTATCCAAATCCAAAGCCCCGAAGTCCAGAACCCAACGAACCCCAAAGTAAAGCCCACAGCCCGTACCAAATGGCGTGTGTAGGCATTGGGCAATTGCTTTACTGCTCCGGTGGGCTTATATAGGTTCTGTAACCCTGACCCTCTGCCAGACACGACCCCAATGTAGCCTCCTACCGTTCCGGTGCATGGCTCAGACCTACGGACCTGTCTTGAATCGCACAGAGTTGTCTGACTACGCCGAAGCATGGACTCTGAGTACTTTGCGATTGCCAAAGCAGAGCCCTTCAAGTTTGGAAATTATTGTGATTGAGGGTTTGGGGGTGTAGAGGTTGTATTTCCCTGAAACCCGTAGGATTTATGGGTTTAGGTCTAAGCTTTGCTTCGGATTGCACTGCCGATCGGTTTGCTCGCTTGGCAGTGTACATAAAAAAGCGCAAATTCGACACTTGCAAAATGATGATCCATAAATAATGTCAACACATAAAACACTGTATGCAGCTCAAGCATTTAGCCGCCTAGGCGGAACATCGAATATCTGAACGAGCAAGCTTGCATCAACGAGGCGTCTTCAACATTCTCTGAATAGCACAGCAATCCCGAAACCCTGGCCCTAACCCTAAATTAAATCCTACGACCTCAACCTCAGCATTCACCTCAAGACTCTTCCTGTCTCTCAAACCATTAACCAGCACCAGCACAGCCAGAGCTCTGTCCTGAAAATCCCGGACTTTAAGGGGGAGAGGAAAAGACTGAAGAATTAGTGATGGTCCGTAAACCCTATTGCAGCAACCTGAAACTCCGCAACACTTCGAGCACTACTGGCATGGAGCCACAGAGTCTAATATAGGGGCCTCAACACTTGGAGAAGGGTTGAATAGGGTTTTGGGTCCCATTATGCCGCAAATATCTACAAATATAATACAAAGCTTCCAACATGGTATAGGTAATCGTTTAGGCCCCTATATTACTCTGAAAAGGGTTTAGGGTTTGCGCTTGATGCCTTCCGCGATGGACGAGGCTTGCGCTGCTTGGCGACCTTCACCGGTAGCACGACCACCTTGGCGCCGAAACCCTAAATCCTAAACCTCAAAACCTAAACCCTAAACCCGTTACAAGACTTTGGCGGCTTAGCATTTAAGGTTTCCGGATGTTTCCGGACTGCGCATGCTACGACCGAAAAACCACCAAGAATACCTTCAGAGGCTACGGATCCACTAGTTGCGTGCCAGGACCCTTCAGTTCAGATTCTACACTGCTCGAGGTGCAGTCAACAACCTCAACGGAAGCCTTGGAAGCCGTAGTCGGAATAGCGAAAGCCCTAAACCCAACCCGCTAAACGCAACCCCTAAAGCTGCAAACTGTGGGGTCATTGGTCTACTGAATTCTGAACTACCAGTGTTCTGCATGCGCTGAGCACAGAGGGTAGTACCTTAACCCTCTTTGGAGTACTTGATTTAGACAAGACAAATCCCATTAAGCCATGAGAAGAGCGAAGCATCCTAAACAGGGAGTGTTGCCTAAACAATCAAAATCCTTTAAGGCCGTAAAGACGAGAGGCCACGCAAGCTGATTAACATCTGGGAGCGAGAAGATTTCAATAATTCGTGATACTTTGGTGCAAATGCAGAGTTCGGAGTTGCTCGGCCCCCTTAACTTCAATGGCTTTGCAAACGAGATGCATCCGGGGAAGCCATGGCAACGTCACTTGCAATGCAACAAAGGAATCTTGAGCCGCACTGTAAAGCGGAATGTTTGCTTTAATCTTCCTAGGAAGTTTCCCCATCCCGACGAAACTGCTTAACTTTTGGACTGTGCCTGCTGCCATAAGAGTCCCTCACCCGTCAACCCGAAGCATGAATCCCAAGCAACAATGCTGCTAAATCCAAACGCCTACTTCATGATTCGGCCCGCCGAAGATGATGACTGCCGCTAAGCATCATTTAAAAAACCTAAATGCTGCGAGCCCTGATGACCAAACGAGAAACCCCTAAAACCTCAATCGAAAACAGAAGCTAAGCACAGCCCCAAAAAACCTGCAACCCAAACCCCAGTAGAAACTCCCCTGAAATCTCGAACCCAAACCCGTCGTTGACGTCGTTGAGATCCGAATGAGACAGCCGTGCCCTGCATGGTATCGCTTGCACTTCGGAGTTTGGTCTACACACCGCACACGCCCCGCTATTGAAACATGACACTGCCCAGCCTGGGTCAGAAGGTTAAGCACAAACAACAATTGTGATCGGGAAACCCTGCCTCAGTACAAAAAGGCTCAGCCCCGAAACACCCTTCAAGCCGAAACTCTACGGACTGCAGACTCAGGCGAACTTTGGCTGGGGCCGGGGGGTCGTGGTAGGGTCATTCCATAAGGATCTGCTTTTTCGAGCTGGTTGAGCACGGGATGATGAGCCCGTGGATGCACACCTGCGAAGTCGAAGTACCCTTCGAAAGCGGCGCAGGACGTGGATGGGATCCATGCTTGCCTGATTTGTGCTCTTGTAGGTTTGTGTGCGTACAAGGAGCGAGTAGGAGACTTCTGCATCGATCATAAGCTGTGCAAGAGAGAGGATCCCGGTCCACGGAATGTGAGATTATTGGCACAGTTGACTCCTCTTTACACGTGCAGCTTGGCCTGAACATGCAGCTGCCACAGAAAAATGCAACTTCAAAGAACTTGTTCCTTCGCTCTCGTCCTCTTCACCGCTTGCCGGGCTGTTCAGCCCGATCCTTCTCCTGCTGCTTGCGCCACACCACCGCCTGCTTCCAGGCCTTCTCCACCTCCTTCGGCGAGAAATCCGGTGCCAGGCAACAGCATGCAAACCCTGTCATGTTCAGACATCCGGTTCATGTCTCCATCCAAGCCCCTGGACCCTCTTACAGACGACAATCCAGCAACCCTCACTGCCTTTATCTGCCACAAGCAAACCGCCTCGCCTGTGACGCCGGGCTCGGTCACCTAGGCGGCAACGGCAAGTGGCCCAGGTCAGCCTGCCTGCAGGATTCGACACATCCGGCCTGGTTCTTCAGCTGAAGCCGTCGTGCCAGCAGAGTGACCTTCTTCTTCAAGCTTGACTGAAATGGGCGATGTACGCATCTCGGAGATAGATACCGTGTGCGATATGGCAACTGGAAAGCGAAAACCCAGCACCAAGGACCAGGCAGGAAGCTCAGGTAGCAGGCGTCTGCACCAGGTTCCACCACGGATTCAAAACCAAAGCTTGGAGTCAAAAGTCTTGAAGCCGTCCGTCTATGGTCGGTCAAATGCGAAAATCCCCTGAGATCGCGACAAGTGCAGCGAGGATAGTGCTCCGAGCAGGCCGGGGACCTGGCTGCCAGGAGTAAGCCGAAAGAAAGCGCTGATACGCACAAGGGCCTCGAGCCGCACGCATGTAGGTGCCTGCCGGATATGGCAAAGCTGCGAGGACAAGAGACCACGTGTAAGTGTACACAATCCCACAGCCGAACTGATAGAAGGTGACGGCTTACTAAGGCCCCTTCTTCACAGTGCCTTACAGTCCCAACTGTTGGGCCCGAATTCAAAGGCCGTGGCCTGCAGACAGCGCGGAATGCGGCGGATGATCACGCTCACCAGCAGTGGCAGTGGCCTGGCACAAGAAAGCCGCACAACCCGAATCCTGAACTTTCTGAAGGATCCTGTGATGTACCAAAAGTTCCTCACTGACTGACTGTCGCAGCGTTTCCGGTCAGAACTTACAACTTTCGGCTACTCAAGAAATTGCGAGCGCTTGTGATTTGAAAGTGTTTTGCCTGCATCTGACGCGTGTTCAACCAATCTTGGGTGCTTAACATGAGGAGATCACACTTAACCATTGACCTCAAACCGTAAAGTCCATTCATGTGGCTATCTTGGGGATGACTCTCTCTCTCTCTCTCTCCCTCTCTCCCTCCCTCTCTCACTCTCTCTATCTCTCTCTCTCTCTCGCTCTCTCCCTCTCTCCCTCTCTCTCCCCCTCTCTTCTTTGCCTCGCAAACAGAAGCAGAAGAAACGGGGCTTGCCTCAGGAGGCGGCTTCCATGGCCTGAAGCTCGGCGAACAAAAACACTGCTTATCACTATGTGCGTTGCTATCTTGTCTTCTGGTGGGATCTAGGCATGTGGCGCGACGTACTGTTTGTTCAGGAGCTTTGGCCAACCTAGGGAACATAGGGAACACAAACTGCTCGGAATGCATGTGACCTTCTGCTCAAAAATCTTGATCTCAGGCCGTGGCAACATGCCTTAAAGAAATCATGATGTTGAAGGTCTGCATGCCCCAATCGCGTCAGCGGGTCCTTCGTCAGGAGCCCCTGCAGAAGGCCTCCGGTATTGCAAAAGAACAAGTTGAAAACGAAGGCCCGATTAAAGGCGTGGCTTTTGCAGACAGTCATCCCAGATTGCTACAGAGCCCCAACGATGTTTTCAGCGAGAAGTCACCAAGGCCCCCACCGACAACACATGGTGGAAGCCTGGCAATTCAGGAATCTGCAATAGCAGAAACAAGATTTGGGCGCCGGCAAGGCGCCACGACCAAGTGCGACCCCAACAGACAATGCCCCAATAGAAAACCTCGACCCGAATCGGATTGTCACAAAATTACATCAGTCACATCTGTGCCCCCTCCAGCAAAAGGTGGCGCCATGCACCATGCAAGGTATATGAAAGCAGCCCAACCCTCTGCCAGAATTCAGCAACTATTTCCCCTAATATTCAGTAACTACCTCCCCCAGTAATAAGCCCCCCTCTGCTAATAATCAATACTAAACACAGAAAACCTAAAATCCTGTAAGACTACTTTCAGAAGGGGAGAATTAGGAGGTACCTATAGTATCCGATAATTAGTCTTAGCGAATTAGGGGGGTTCTGAAGTCAGTAGGGGGATCACAATAAAGAATCGAAGGGGATTATGGACCTGCTTGGTTTCCTCATTTGTTTTTTTGTCTTTGAAAAATGCATAGTAATGTATATTAATGAATTGAAATGCCAGTTTGAACTAGGGGTCTCTTTTATTTCCTAGGTTTGTATTACTTCCAAAACAGCTTTTGCACAGGAACTTTATCACGTCCTTGTCAGAGTTGGCGCTGACCTAAGCTGCACAGTCCCCTTCTCGAATTTGTGCCAACACTCCCGTAGGAGGAGACCGCCAGCATGGTGGCGGGCGGTGAACCGAACTTGTTCAGGAGGTCGGCTGAAAAAGACGTGCGCAAAGACTTCTCCACGGGCTACAATGCTTTAGTGCTGTGGGCACTATATAAAAGAATCAAAACGCAATCTAATAGGAACTAGGGAACTCCTTTACTTCCTAGTGTTTTCTGTACAATTGTGACTATTACCGCGCTGATTTTGTTTAGGAAAACATGGGATAAGAAAGGGAACCCCAAAGGCCACCCCAGCCCCGAAAACCAACCCAAGAGAAAATCAAGAAAGCCCAGCACTCACTTTCTTTCAATATTTTGTTTCACTGCAAAGCCGGAGTTATTGAGAATTCTCCTTTAAGAAAATGCTACGAAAGGGAATGCGCACTGGTGCAGCCGAGCCGAAATGGAAGCGAAACGAAACTTCAGAAAGTCCGTGACCTCTGACTGCTCCACAACACTTTCTGAGCCAGCGCTCGCACAGGCTCGCAACGTAAGGAATCGATATGCAAGATGCAAAAGTTAGAACCTTGTTTGTATTGGATAAGGTTGTTTACAAAGTTGCTTATGCCGGCGTAGACCCCACACAACGTAAGACCACTTCAGCAGCACTCCAAGATGATCCCAAAGAGGCACTCCAAGAACGCAGGGTGTAGGGTTTAGGGTGGGTTAAGGATTCAAGGTTTAGGGACTGCCAGGCGCACACTTCACCCGAGGCGAGAGCGCCATTGACGAAACACCGCGAAATGCAAATCGATGGGTAACGCACGAAGCCCACCCATCCAAGTGCCCAATATGCAGGAAAGTGCATCATTTTCGCGACACGGAGTCACGTGACATACGCCTGCACTTTAAGCTGCGTTTAAAGGCTCTCAGTTTCCAGCTGCGATAAGAACGCTGCTAGCCGTACTGATGATAATAATGACAACCAAAATATCAATAACAGTAACAATAACAATAACACAATATAACAATATAACAATATAACCGTATAATATTATAACAATCTAACAATATAACAATCTAACAATCTAACAATACAACAATACAACAATGCAACAATACAACAATATAACAATATAACAGTATAACATGTGCACAAACAATGCAACACTATAACAATATAACAATATAACAATATAACAATAACAACAGTAATACTAATAGTTGAAGATTCAGGTATCAACTCCAAGACAGAGAATACAGCTCCAATCAATGGCAATCGCAGACCTATCTTATCCGGTAAGTCATGGCACTCTCTTTTGTCTCGTGCCAGAGAACTGCGTCATGTATTCAATCCTCGAGTACCTCTGTGAAGGTTTCGCTGGGGCCGCCTGCCGTTTAAACACCCGGACATCTCCACACATGTATGCAAAATTTTACATTCGCGGATTCTTAAACAGGTTGCTCACACTACCTCTGCAGCACTTGCTGCTTGGCCGCCCTCCACATATTTAAAAGTCGTCACCGTAGCTTTTGAAGCCCCGTGCCTCTTTTTTATGCAAACCAGTACTGTACGTGCGACAGACAACATTAACAATGAGAATATGTTCCCACTCTTCTTGCCGAGAACAACCATCAAACACATCAAACAAATTCAGCAATACACACAAAATAAACAATAACAAGAACCAATTCACCATTGAGACCTTCAACAAACAGGACTTGACTATGGGAACCGCCATGCAAAGGAGTTTGGGAAGCACCATGTTGACGCCGCCAACACGCCTCAGACGAGTAATTACACACTACATAACAAAAAAACAAAACTACTTAGCAGAACAAACGAACCATCCAGCAAGCAGAAGACATGACACATATGGGAAATGCCATGTAGGCGCCGAAAATGCCTTTGTTATCAGCACACGCGAGAAACGCCATGTCGCGCTCAAGAACTGTAGCAAAAAGCAAACAGAAGCATGAGAAAGGCATGTGGCAAACGCTATGTAGACGCCCCTGCGACCCTAAGACGGATTGGAGAAGTGCGCCCGGCGTGACTAACAAAACAAACAGCAGCTAGCGCATGCACGGGAAACGTAATGTACATGCTCATGAAGAGCATAAAGTATGTGACGGGATTATGGGAAACGCCATGTAGACGACCACAAGAGATGCTTTTTTTCAGGCGAGATGCCTTGTGCAATCCTCAAGGCAAAGAATCACAAGACATAGTCCCAACGACAACTGTGACCAGAACATTCAGACCAGGGCACAAATGGGTTTAAGCGCAAAAGGCATCAAGCAAAAAAAACAGCGTTCTCCATACCTCACAAAACGATCCTCTAAATCCCCAGTGAACGCTACATTGGAGCGACTTTTCTTTAACGACTCCCCTCTTACTTCAAGGATAAAAAATTCGCGGGTGAGACGCCCCAGCAGGAAAGAGATGGCGCAACCAGAAAACATCATATTCACTGGCGATCCGAGACTGGACGCTCCCGCGGGACTCCGGGACACGGTTGATGCTACCAGCAAACATCGTGTTTGTTGGAAATCTGCAAGTACGCGCCTCCAGCAAATAAACGACGATGCTACCGGAAAACACCATGTTTAATGAAGATCTCGAAGTATATGCTGTGGCAGCGCGCCGAGGCCACCAAAACAGGCATCATACAAGGGCATCAATACAACAACACCAACAATACAATGAATTAACAATGTTCTCTTTGTGTTGCCATTGTCTTGCCAAGAACAACAATCAAACAGGAGTAAGAACAACACTGATAACCACAACATCTCGTTTCCCCTCTTATTGCCACGGACAATAGTCAGAAGAAAACAACAATACAAACGACAGTAGAATCTATGCAACGCTAGTCGACGCCAGGATGTCCACTGAAACAGCCAAACTGCATGTAGACGCTGTCATCAACAAGATTTCCCTGATTATGATGTTCAGGGGTGGCCAAGCTCAAGACATGGTTTCCCCAAGTAGACGCTCAACCGATGCGTAAAAAACTGACCGATGTAAGATAACCCTACTACTTGTACCACAACGCATGAAACCCTAAACATCCATATGCCCTGAACATCCCTAAGCCCTAAACCCTCAGCCCTCAACATTGGAAGTCAAACTGAGACGGCCCGACCTTTCTGGGAAGTGGACATCTGCATGGAGCACCTCCTGATAAATCCTGGAGCCGAGACACTAAGCCATGTTGCGCATTTTTGCACTCCTAACGGGGCTGAGTGCAGTTCTGCTCATTGGTGGCGGCGCTGTCTTTCCCGAATGGGAAATCTCCGATAACCTAGTTGATCGAGTTTTGGCATGGCTCCCAGAATCATACAGTCATTCGCAAAGAGCCAAGTCTTCCACGATCCAGTAGACCACAACCCCAAGGCTCCAAAGGTCGCACATGGTGCTATGCACCTCAGAAACATTGCAACCAAGCTCACACGGAAGATACGGAAGTGACGAAACCAATTCTGAGGGCAAGGGCGCAGCCAATGATAATCTCTGGCGCCATGCATCGCGGGGTGCCCTGCGCAACGCAACACAACACAACGCAACACATCTGATTTGTCAGTGTTAAGCGCCACACAACCAGGCCACTCTGCTTGCAGTGAGCATCCACAGCGCTGCCAAAATCGAGCAGCTTCAGGTAACCCTCTCCACAACTCGCATGGACGCAGATTCACCCGTGTTTGGCCGCACAACACACCCATAGCCTCCACATCGAGGCGGCAGTTCTCAGCCTTGATGTCGAGGTGGCAAATGCCTGGCACGGGCAAGCAATTCCCGTTTGGCCTTGGCAGCTGCTGTGGCACAAACCTCTGTCTGCAAGATAGCCCAGGGCAAGAACAAGGCAGCCAGCGTAGAAGGAAGCCGCCTACATGATGGAAAGCTGCACACGTCTAATAGTCTAAAGTTCAAAATAGAAAGTGGGAAATAGTCGAGCGCAATCATACCGGCAAGAGATGATCAATGGAACATGGAGGATCCAGGATTTCAACGCCTGATCAACGCCGACGTGCTCGAGTGCATCGATCAGTTCGCACCCTGATACGAGCTCCAACAAAAGACCAATTTTCGACCTTGGCAAGATCACTGACACTCGGCCCTCCTACATGTCCTTCCTTCCGGTCCCACGCAAAGCTGCCTTGCTGGGCAAAAGGCCGATATATGGTCTGGCTGTGCAATTTGACGATGAAGGGGTGGTCGAGCTGCCAGGCATCACTGCTAGGAACTACCCCAAGAAACTACCCCAAGAAGCTACCCCAACTACTACCCCAAACCCTAAACCGTAAACCCAGCCTTCTTCAAAATGGCCAGCTCGCGAAGCGCATTATGATCTTTGTCAATGCATTTAAGGGCATACCTGGCACAAGCTGACGGTCTCAGGCTACGTTCTGACTTGCAAGTTGCTCCATGGAAGCCTCATTCCTGTTGTTGCACGAACTTCTCGCACAACACCAAACTGTCCCTCGCCGAGGAATCCGAGGACAATGAATGAATTGGCCTTCCATTCAAGGTGTCGGTACTTTCATCAAAGAAGCGAAAAGACAACATGAGGTCGGCTAGTTTGCACACATTTCACTGCCCACAAGAGTTCTATTTTCTTCGCTTTCTATTCTTCAACCACACATGGACACGCCTTGAACGTGTCAACATCTCTGTCACGCTTTTTGTAAGATTGGTGCAGGCTGCCTGTTCGTACCATGTAGGTTTTGCGTCGCCGACTTCTGGAAGGTAATTACAAAGCCAATTGGCGGGATAGGGAATGAATGGCCACTGTCTTGCAAAGAAACAGGAACAATCTTGCCAGATTTTCTAGCCTTCTCCCTCTGCTTCCTCCTCAGCTTGTGTGGGTTATGCACTACCCAAAAATGTCTCTCCACAGTTGGGCACCGCCACGGTTGGGGATAACGGTGAACATCCCAATAACATTCATTGCCCACATGAAGTAGACTCCTCAGACGGTGCAGACATCACGTTTTCCCCTTCTTCAACCGGCTGCGTAACTTATGGCGCTCCCTCCCATTCCTGCGACCTTAGGGCGCCCTTGTATCTCCCTCTCCCTCTCTCTATCGCGAAACAAACTTGAGAGAGATCTCTCCCACATTGGCGGCACGCAGACGCTCGAAGGAGGCTGCCCTATTGCTCCTGCTGCACACTGTCTCGTGCTGCTGTCTCGCCAGCTTGCAGCGCTACAATCACACAGCAAAAACTACCTGCCTTACGCCAGTCCCTAGTTTCGGGGTCGGCGGCATTGGCGGCAACCATTAAATCGGGCAGCTCGGTCCCCGAGCGCTTGCGTCCTGTGAGTTCCGAGCTTGGCTCGGTCGAGCCATTCAAGCTACGCGAAGCAAAAAACCACGACCGCCCGTGCCGCCGACCCTGCCTCATCGGACCCTCGTTTTTCCATTGGGCTGCGCGGGCCCTCGCCCGGAGGCTTCTCGGAACGCGCGCGCGTTTCGCAGCCATTCCCCACGGCATGGCGGGTTTCGGGGCCGGCGTGGACGATCCCAGGAGGCCAGCCGGCGAGCATCATGAGCACTCGGGCGCGCATCATCAGCATCAGCGGGGTCCGGCGGAGGGCGGGTGCGGCTACATGGAGGGCCGACGAGGATTGAGAGGGCAAGCGGGAAGGAAAACACAAGGGCGGGTGCGTGGCCTTGCTTCAGGCTTCTACCTGCGCTGCCCGCCCGTGGGCACAGCCCCTAGAATAGTTTGTCGATATGCGGGAGTCTTTTTTCGACAAAAT